AGGCAGAGGATGCCAGAGCCAATGGGAAATGTCCCTCGAATTAATGGTGCCACTTCCCAAGTACGGAATCAGCTGCAAAAAAATGGTATTCTTGGAATTACATATGCAAGGACAAATGGATTTGAGACATCTGGTAAGGATACATTCTACAGTCTCGAGAAAATCTAGGGCCAAGTTCCTGCATTCTACATTTCAAATAACAGCAAGAAGCAGCTGAGAATAAAGGAAGCAGTGCAATTTACTGAACATACCTGTACAAGATAGTTTCTCTGGTGTGTTTTCCATTCTATTTACAGTGCAAAGAAAAATGCAACTTGGTGTGCCATCCTGAATCTCAGACAAGCACGTGAGATCCAGAACCTTCAGAATAGAAGTTCATTAAAAGTGGGAAAAAAATATACAATACTAGATGATTTTCTGCCCTTTATGGATCTATCAGAGCATATTCTGACATCCCAATCAGGCCTCCCGTCATAGGTTTCTCAGATTTACATCTGAAAGAACCAGTTCCAATCCCCCTTTGGGCTGAATATCCAGAGTTACCAAAGTAATGGTAGGACTTATGGGTTTCTCGGGATGTCCACTCTCTGAAGAAATTGATATTTGGACAAGCCAAAGTGTCCTCTAGGGAGAGATCATTGAAGAACTTCAAGGAAGCATTTAAATATTTCCAGGATGGGTTTGTGGGAACGTTACCAAGAGCTCTCATACATTTGAAGTGGGATATTGCACTTAGGAATCACCATCAACACAATGGAAAGGAAACTCTTTCAGTCTGAGAACAGTTCCAAAACCTGTAGATGAGATTACTGACCCTAATGAGTAATAAAATTACAAGGAATTATGGTTGTGGTTCATGACTTAATACCCTGTTTCCACTCTAAGACCACATTACAGCAGATTCCACTTGCTAATGGTGCTGAATAGCGCTCATCAAGATAGATCATTTATTGCAGGGACTTCAAACTTGGCCCTTTTATGACTTGTGGACTTCAACTCCCAGAATTCCTTAGCCAGCATGCCTGGCTGAGGAATTCTGGGAGTTGAAGTCCATAAATCATAAAAGGGCCAAGTTTGAAGACCCTGATTGATTGCATTGGTGGCTAATTCCAGCTAATTTGGCAGGGAGAATGCCACTGAGAGAATAATAAGGGATCAAGTGACCGGTGATCCAGGAGTCATGGTTCCATAACAAGTTGACGCTACTTATACAATGTACAACTGACTTTCATACCAGATAACTGAACAGTATTCAGTGTGAATGGATAATATTTTGATTAAAATCTATGTAAAGTCAGGATAGAATCAAATCCAAGGACCTTCAGAGAAAAGGCTTCCAATTACTGACAGGAGTGGAGACATGCCTAATCGCTAGATTTCATGATGGAATCATTGAACACAACAGCAAACTGACTGAGTTGTAAGCATTTCTCTCAGAAAGAATATATCTGGATATTTTTTCATGAAACCTTAGCAAAATAGGGATCCTCTTGATCAATCTGTTCATTTTAATAGATACACCAAAGCACTTCCTCTTTTGATTTCAAGACAATCTATCAGGGGAATCAATGCTCTAGTGATATCAGGGCCAGAAGAATTGCACTATACTTTTCCATCAACACCAGTGCTATCCAAAATAGTGAGAAAAGAAAATGTCAGCCTTTTAAGGTAGACAAAGTCAGCTTTGGCAGTAAAATAAGCAGATTGTCAGTGAGGGCAAAAAAAAAGTCCTTATTGTGCAGTAGACATCTTAAGAGAAAGTCAAGTTTGGAAATATCCTTCTGCCATTGTTTAAAGGACAGATCTTTGATCAGAATCAGTGAAGTTAAGACAAAAAAAAACATTCTGGGTAAAACAGTCATTTTATTAACAACAATTCTTTCCATCAGTGACAAAGCTAGCTTTCCCCATCTATGCAAATCCAGTTTTATCTCATTCCACATTTTAATAATAGTTATTTTTATACAGCGTAGAATTTTTAATAGAGTCACCACCCCAAGGTATTTTACCTTTTTTACAACCTTGAATTCAGTTTGGTTCTCCAGTTTTCTTCGATCTTCCCTGTCTTTACCTTTCTGAACCTCAAATGGTTACATCAATTCTCCATTGACCATAATCTCAGCTTTCTATACTATATAAGTAGATTTCAATCTTTGTATAAAATTCAGTCTGAAGTCCATAATCTCAACAATTTAAACATAAAATCCCAAATCAGATTATCAAAAGCCTTCTTTGCATCTAAAAGTATTTATAGCCTATTTGTCATTGCATTGTTGTAAATATTCAATTATATCCTAGACAATTCTCACACTGTCCTTTAGTTGTCTTTTAGGTAATAAATCACATTGATCTTCATGGACATAGTCTTGTAAAACCTTTTTAGTTTTTCAGCTAGGATGGATGTAAAAAGTTTGTAGTCATTAAGAGAGGTTGGCTTATAATGTATGGTAAGAATTAAGTCCTGTCCTTCCTTGTTCATCAGAGCAATGTAGGCTTCTTTCCATGAATGTCCGTATCTGACGGGAACATTTTATCTTAAGTAATTTATAAAGTAACTTTTATTATTGACTAGAAGTTTCTAAAATA